GCTCGGTTTTGTTGGACACTTAACAAAGCCTGCCTTAACAGTTAACGGATCAGATGAATTGAAGTCTAAATATCAATTAGAATGCGTTGGCACTTTATAAACGCTAGTGTGTGGTTTAACTTCTGTTCGTTTTATTTTACAATCTAACATAGTTAATTCTCCTTGTTCATTTTCCGATTCAAATATGAATTTTATTCCCTCTACTAGTGAGTTCATATGTGTCATGTAGCTAGAGATATGTTCTCCATGTTGCTAAACTTTTCCGACCATCTTATCTTCACTATGCAGCCAAGGCAGCTGCTGTAAAAGTTCGCATCTGCCTGCTGGGAATACTGTTCGTGATTTATGTGATGAGTCACTGAACCATGTAGAAGAATTGACCAACTTGATATTTATGTTAAAAACCAGAATCTTGTTCTTGATTCCGAGTTCAGTAGATTTCTACACTGATTTCAGATTGATGAAGGTTTGCCTTACTTTTCTGTTCCTGTATGACGTTGACATCCCGTCCAAGCCGTCTATATTTGCTGCCTAAGTAAGGTAAGTGATAGAGGTGGCCTCCTTCAAAGTTTTACCACTGGTACTGATTGGTTCTTTCTGTTGTTGTTGGTCGTTGCGATCATTCCATCAAAATGTGGAATGGAATTATACTCTACCATAGCGCCTAGGTTCTATCCTTAAATCTTCCCTGATATTTGTTTAATATTTCCAGTGGCTTTAAAATTTCTACGCATTTTCACAGTCAAATCAGCAGAATCCATAATATTTTCATTATTATTATTATATTGTTGTTCCCTTGGGTTCCTAGGGGAATATAGTGATTCAACGGGGAGCACATCTCCACTTTGTCCTGTTCTCTACCATCCTCCTTAATTGTCCCCACAATTGCCTAAAGTCTCTTATTTTCTCATCACACGGTCACCTACGTGTCACTCTCCGAAGCCCAGTTCGTCTTTTCCTATCCGGGTTCCATTAAGGCAATGGCCAGGAGTGCGATATCACTCAATAGCGTCCTCATTATATGCCAAATCCATCCGTCCCCATATTCTTCGGGATATTTATTGAGCAATATGTTCTTGGCTGATTCTCTTCCTGACAGATTTCCTTGTTTCTAGTCGTTTCTGACTGGTCATCTGTTCATCAGTATAGAGTCAGAGAATTCAGCTGTTGGTAAACGTTTGCAATGGTTTGTTGGAAATGCTTTGTTTGGCATGCTGGCCAATTTTCTGCCTCATACAGAAGCAGCGACTGACTGACTTAAGATTTGTGTTTAAAATGTAAGTCTTGTTCTTCATACAGTGGTGGAGTGCAGAAGATTTCCAAACTGATTTCAAAGTGATGAAGATCTGTATTGCATTTCCGATTTTGGTTTCGATATTCTCATCCGTGCATCCAACCCGTAGTTGAAACTATGGTGCCTAGCCAGTTAAATGAAGGAAGTGACGTCCTTCAGATTTGTGGCAAGATGCATTTTCTTGTGATTTTGTGAGGTTGATTTGTTGCTGCGCGTAGTTTGTTTCAGGTCAGGACATTTTCTTCTTTGCTGATAAAACTGTACACGTATTCACTTCATTTTTCTTAAAGACAGTTAATAAAAATATTTCTGTCCCATCATGTCTGAGGACTGATGGAGTGATTTGAGTGTGTGTTTTAGTCCCAGTCCTGAGGGACAATAGGAAACAGAAACATATTTATTAAATGTCTTCAAAAAATACGAATGGATACCCTTACAATTTCATCAATGAGCAAATTAAGACATTATCAGAAAATGTAGTATTTAGACGAAAGTGTGAGATGGAATGGTAATAGTTTGTTAGTTAATAATGTCAGCTGAATGTATATAATATATGTATAGCCATTCTCTGCGCCAATGGCACAGCAACAGAGTGCTTGTCAAGCACTCAGGTGGTTCGGGGTTTGACAACCGACTGACTCATTCCTTTACCTCGCTAAGTCAGTTATAAGACTATTAAAGATGGAAGGTTGAGCATGTGGCTAACAACCCCATCACACAAAAATAAATACCATTGTTACCGAAACTTCAAAGCTCTAGCTTGAAGCCCTATGTTACACTGAGAACGTTAAGGAATAAAATAATAAATAATAATAACTCAGAACATAAGATAAAGGGTGAATAGACAATTAAGTGAGATACCAATGCCCACGATTTTAGCACAACCATTAGACACTACCGTCGGCACGTATATGCCCTCGTACCCGGTCACACGATGGCCCTCAGTGGTCGTGGCTTCTCTCTAGAACAATCTACGGAACTTCGTCCTGTAACTAGTCGGTCACTAGCAAGCATCACACTAATTTTCACGCATGGCATTTCGAAGGGATTTGTTACATTTGCTTCAGGTTTGACCAGGGATTGATGTTAGTGTTAGTGGCTGAACATACCACAGGGTTTCCTTCTAACGGGAAAGTCATGGATGTGATGTCTGCGGGTGTGTCCTGTCCCAAATTAGGACAAAACAGCTGTCCAGACTTCCTCACTACTGTGTTTCAATGATTTTCCAACTAATATCAACTGGTGATTCAATTTGAAACAAATCAAATTCCTACAAACTAACTTTTGACACTGCTAGTGTACTTAAATCGACAAAATATAAGTTTCACTGCAGGGAGTGGGAGGGTTGAGTTATACTCAGTGGTGTGAGAGAAATATAAGTTCTACTAAAATATATAAACAAGCAAATCGGATACGCTGAATGTGAGTTCGAGAGATGACAGATAGTAAATGTAAGTTAACACATTCAACAGTGAACTGTAACCAAATAATTGAGACAAAGGTTGATAAATAGAAATCGTAATAAGGGTGTGAAGGAAATAAGGTAAAAAGAATAAAAAAGACCTACATAATAAGACATGAAAATATGAAATGATTGTGTCCCTGATGACCTTATACTAGATAGGCCAGGGTAAACGATGGGGATGAATTTACTCTTTCTAGATTCACATAGCTTCAGATATGGCTAGGAGACGTAATCATGTACCTATTTGACAGACTGTTTGGTACACGATAGATACACAACCGTGAATAATTCATCTATTTTCTTAAACAGTATGCTCACTATCATCCATTAAATGAGATAAAAGTGGCACTATCTATTGATTTGGTTACTCATTGCACCGAAACAAACTGAAACAAACCCTTTACAAATTCCGTAAAGATAAATTCCTCTGAATTCTACAAGTGTATAACTAGCTTCAGAAGGGCAGTTTTAATATGTACAAGTACATTTATGTGGACTCTGTCAGCATTGTTCTGGTTTGGTAAATGATGTGTGACCACCTGGCTGGTTTCAACATACAACAACTTCGCACAGAAGTGCAGCACCACTTCAAGTTGCTACACAAAAACATGCGTCGGTGGCACAGTGGTTAGGACTCTTGCCAACCATTCACATGGTCCGAGGTTCGACCCCCTCCCGACGCACACCTGATATCTTTGTTTGGCCTACAAAATTTGAGCTACCGATATCACATGCTGAAAATTCCATACTAGTACCAAAAGTGCGGTGTGGAATCAAGCTGAAATAAAAAAATCAAAAGAGAAAAAACAAGAGATCTGAAAGAACAGTAATAAGTAGAATTGTGAGGGAGAAAGAAAGTAACATAGAAAAACGAGAGTGTTCATTGGATATGGCAGATCGCAACCAATGAATGAATCTGCGTCACTAAGAACGATTTTGAGCCACATTACTAATTATCCCCAGTCTTCGTCGGATGCTAGAATCCCGATGACCCCAACCAGACACGTAGTCTACACCTCCCTACGTGATGGGCTTCAACTAACTCTTAAGAATTTCATGGACTGATTTCACATTTTGGTTTGTTCACCACTAACTCTTTTCCAGTCTGATTCTTTGTCAGTAGCTAAGATTGGCAACGGAGAAAGGAGGTGCCTAGGCATGCCTAAAACCTCCGGTCGTAACCACCTCAAATGAAATGGCCTCGAAACATCATCGGTTGACATTCCCTCCTTACCTAACACTCTACGATCAACCGCAATATCACTCACCCTATTATATCACCTAACACGGAATATAGGACGCAAACACCTATGATCAAAGACGGCTAGCCAGGCTGTCACAACCATAAAGGAGGACAGAGTGAAACACTGCTGTGAAATACTCACATTCTTTGATTGATAACCATCCAGATATCACGTCTACACCAGACATGATGCAGGTTGGTGAATTACACACGAGTCTTTTGTGTATCCGTGCTGAGATTTCATCAGCAATCAATCCACTGGGGCTAATACAACTTGAGAAGGAAGTAAAACAGTCAACACACTCAACCAATCTACTGCCTTTCTTTAAGCTAGGGATTGATGGCGTCCAGTCCTGTAGCCTCATCTTGTACTTGACAGGAACGCGTCTCGTGCTAAACGTTTGAATATTTCCGTTCACGGTGTTCAGTAGATTCTGCGTTTTATCAGCGTCTTCCACACTTAGGAGGACTATGTCATCCGCATATTCTAAGTCAACATGACTGTATCCTGTGGTGACAATTCAATCTATGATTCGTTGAAGTCAGTTGGGGTTAAATCCATTAGTGTGTCTATGATAAAATTAAACGGAAATCGGGACATTGGGCATCTCTGATGGACACCCCTGCTTGTCATTACTTCACATGACAACTCACTGTAAGCTCTTACCTGGCTTCGTGAGCCTGAACACAGTGATTTCAGCATTGAAACTCTTTTCAAATGAGTTAATCAGCCCCGGACTCAGTATATCACTGGATTTAATGCTATTTTTCTGAATGACTCTACTTATTTTTGTATCCATTCAGCTGATGATGCTCAGCTAACCGCCTATTATTGCATCTTATATTTGGCTAATTGTATCCGACAAGAAAATATCTAATCTCTAATCAAACTACCAGCAGGTAGTACCCCCAAAAGGAAACCTTTATTCTATAAAAATATTCATTCAATTTTATTTTCTGTTTCTTCATCTCACTTTTTTTTGGTTGAAATAAAATAGTTATTTCTACGAGCTGTTGGTATCAGTCCATGGGAAGGTTGTCAAACTGCTCTATATTGTGCTCTAGTGAATGATCCGGTGCCTGGAGGATTCTACTCAAACTGTGCCCTGGAAGAGTTAACTGAAAAAGCTAAAAATGATCAGTTGGGCAAAAAATTATGGCTAGTAACACGTGAAATAGTTGGTTTACCACCAAATTTAACTCTACTATATTGAACATCGAATCTTTCGCTTTCTTCATCATTTTTGTCTAGTTGTCTTAAACTAACTATCCAAACATTTGATTTCATTTCATTTGAACTAAAAAATGACCAAAGCTTCTCATTGAATAATGTTGAGCTGAAGCAAGCATAAACATTTCTTGTTGTAATCAACCAACAAACATGTAAGGCGTATGAAGAGTGAATCACAGTCAATCAGACATAAGCCAGAATGTCATTTAATCAGTTCAAAACAGTTTCCAACACACTTCCTAGACAAAAAATATATATTACACAATTTTGTATACTAAAACATAACTTCTATTCAAACACATTTTTATAGGTCAAATTTGAACAATACCACAGTCAGCTGACATTACAACAATGCTGTTTACAAGCAGCCTTCATTTAAATTTTTGGATTTTTTTCACTATAGGGGAACTTTTGAGTGTGAGCATGTGTGTCTGCGTGTTTGTGTGTACGCGTGTGTATGCGCATGTATTACTGATTAGCATTGATTATACTTAACAGTGTTTGACCTTGAGTCAATCGTATGTGTCATCAGTAGTGAATTGTCAATGATTATATAACCATATAAACTGAATTGTTCAATGTTCAAAGCACAAATACATGTTTGATATAATTTTTTTAAAATTTCGAGATTTTATTCACCTCTGTGTACCTAATTATTCCCAAAATGATAATTATAGAACCCGATTTAAGCAACCAAATGCGTATTTTCGAAAAGAATTCTCATTAGGTTTTACACAATTAGGCAATGAAATATTAGTGATAGACATTAAAAGAAACAATGTGAATTAACAGAGACAAAGTTCAGACACATGACAATTAATTTATAATAATCGAGGTGATAATAATAATAATAACAAGGATAAATTCATTCAAATGTCTTTTATTCGCTTAAATAATGATCTAGCTATCCCTAGAAGAAATTCAAAAGGGTTAACTTCCTTCACTTACCTATGAAGCATCATTACAACCACAGCCAACCCAACGCATCAAGATGTCAAAACCACTCAGAATCAGTAACGCAAAACAAATCTTCATCAATCTAAAATCCGTCTGGAAATCTTCCACACTTCACCACAGCATAAACAACAAAATTCCGATCCTCTTCAACACAAATGTTAAGTCAGTCAATCATCTCTTCTATATGAGTCAGAAAATTGGCATTCGATTCACGAAGGGCATTTCCAACAGGCTACTGAACACCTTTGTCAACAACTGTCTTCTATCGCTCCATACTGAAGATCAAATGGCCGGCCGGTCAGTCGGTCGGTCGGTCACAAAGAATTAGCATCAAGAAACTATGGGAACAAACTAACCAAGAACCTATCGCCCAACCAACAGGTAGGCAGAAGAATGTTACAATGGATCGTGAACACACACTGAGCGAAGTGTTGAATGACATCACGTTCCAAGTCATCACTCGAGTGAAAACTGAATAGAAAGAGATAAGTGTGTCGTCTGAAGGCGATATTGAGGAGATTGTGTTCTGAGGAGGAGATCAGAGATTATGATCAATCGTGGTCCCAGCTAGAGAGGACAGCATAAAATGAAACAAAGTGGAGATAAGCTGTTTATAGCGTATGTTTGTCTGGGAACCTAAGAGATCAATAATGTTAGTAAATTCTTTATTAATAATATCAACTTCGTGCTGACTACCTGTACGAGGTACTAAAACAGAGATAGGAGTAGATCATAACAGTCCTTTTGCAAAATATCGACTGTGACTTTCCTGTATTCTCCACTATGAAAGAACTTTCTTAAAACACGATATGATTACTATTGATTTCAGGTTCCATAAGTGATCCTGTAGATAAACTGATGGTGTGTATCTAGTGTTAACTACTATGTCCAACCAGTTCTAGCTGATTTGTTTTACTCGTGAAGTTGGAGAATTCACCAATGAAAGGAGTAATTAGTAGATTGAAATTCTACTGCCAGTAATACGGATGACAAAGTTTTAATTATTAAAAAAAAGAAAAATGAGAATGAAGCAAAGAACAGCATCCTCGACAAGTTCACTGATGTACATTCAACAATATACTTCGCTATAGAGAGAGAGAGGGAGAGGAAGAGAGGAAAGAATGTGAAAGTACTTCATTCCCAGATGTCCTTTTGTCTAGGAAAGAGGATGTTACATTAAGAAGGGGGATAGCTATAGAAAACCTACAACGACAAAACTGGAGTAATCTGCTCTAATGACGAACTTAAGAAGATTAGTGAACTACTCAGTACAAGTATGGTTTTGAATTAATAGAGAAGATTTGTAGCTCAGGTGGATGATATGTAATTAATACTGTTCTCTGAGGACACTATTAATTGCAAAAGTATGGTTATCGAGATAAGTTTCTTTATAGAAATATGAACTCAGAACTAAGTCACGACGGTACAGCAACAGTTACAAAAGAGGCCCTTAATCATAAAACTACACTATCTTGGAGATAACATCAGTGAAAGAATAAAATAATGCTTCTAAAAAATGCAGTAAAAAGAAAATCCAATACAGCAGCAGAGGTACGCAGTACTGTTCCACACAGCCACCCTATTCTTAGGTTCACGAAATAAGGACAAACTACCTAATATCGCCTTCTAATGAATATGTATCCGCAAAAATAAGACTGCTTCTCCGGAGCTGTTTAGTTACACTGGGTGTACAGTTAAGCAGTTTTATCACTGGATTTCCGAATATCATCATCCTGCTTAGTAGTTGAGTAAGAGTCAAACAAGATCTATTTTGCAATTCATTCACTTAAGCTCTACACTACTGAAAATTATGTTAATTATTTTTATTCTAACCATATGTGTATATTTACTACTACAAAATTGTAATTAGTGCCATCGATGACCTTGATTTATACAACATAAATGTATAACTGAAACAAAATCCAAGCTGTGATCCGTATCTCAGTATTTGTTTGTGTGTATGTGTATTGATTAGTACTATCATCATGATCAGTATTTGATCTTGAATCATATATTCAACTGTCAATGATGATATATATGCAATGAATTATTCAGTGGTGTCAAATATGTATTTGTATTAAAACAAATAAGTGCGTAACATGATTTCAAGCTGTTATCAGTATCTATGAATATGTTGTGCATCTTTTGATAATATACTTGAGAGGTACATTATTATTATTTGAGTCTTTCTGGGGTTAATTTAGTTCATCTCACATCACTGACAGTCATCATTAAAACATTAAAAGAAAGTTATTTAGAATCAACAAATTAAAAATAAAATAAAAAATTTATTAAATATTTTAAATATTTTCAAAAATATAAATAAATAATGAAAGTTATTGAGGTGACTCTAAACTATAGTGATCCAAAATGAAAATACCCAATAAAAACGGACTTCATGGTCTCTAGAGGGAGAAGAACAAGAAGTTCACTAGATTTCATTCTCAAAAGCTTTACAATCTCATTAACATATATTAGTTTACACGGATTACATAGGATTAGAAAACAGTTACAATGTATGTAAAATTAATATTTGATAACTGGAGAAACAATTTTAAGGGCGAATAACAGACGACAACTATTTTCAAATTGATATCAATTACAAGAGGCTTAGAAACAAAAATTACTCAGGGATAGAACGAATTACAGGTGTGAACAAAATGAGCATGGAAACAATTTGTTTTGTTAGCTGTGTTTGAATTTTTCCCCTTTGTCTTTATTCAGTTCATCCCGTTTTTTTCAGTTATAAAATCAGTCAGGTTTGTTTCCATGCTCCTCCTAATCACACTTGTAATCCGTTCAGAATAAATATTTTACAATTATATTCTAATCCCGTGCAATTTTTTGTTTCTATGCCTCTTGTAATCTATATTCATACCTCCTAACTTACATTTCAAGTTGAAAATTTTCATTTCAATTTGTTTCCATGCTCGCCTTTAAAATTATTTCTTCAGTGGTCAGATATTAATTTTGCATACGTTGTAACTGTTTTTCTAATCCTATGCAATCTTTTATTTAAGCCCCCTGCAATCTATATTCGTAACTTCAGACTTTCATATCAAGTTGAAAACTATTATCGCCTTCGTTACTATGTGGAATTAAATAAATATTAATTGTATCCGTGTAAACTAATGCGTATAAATGCGATTGTGCAGCTTTTGAGAATGAAATCGCCGAAAAGATATCTCTGTTGAACTTCTTGCTCTTTCCCCTCTAATGTCCCGATGGGTATTTTCCACGATTAAATAACCTCTTCCAACCAATCCGACGATTCTATACTAAAAACATTGAACTATGGATAAAGTACATTAATTACGTAGCAAATTACATCAAGAGGTAGTACTTCAGAACCACAGGGAATAGAAGATTTATGGGAAGCTCGCGGATGTAGAGGAGTAGTTGCTTGACAGAGGTATGCAACCACTGCTCACGCATGTGTCTGTAGATATCGTTACAGAAGAAATCTCTCCGGAAACCCATGACCTTCCTTTTCTAGATTCATGGATGCTGCAGCGCAATAAATTGGTCACGAAATGGCATGACACACAGTTATCCAGATGAATTTATACACAGAAATAGGCATTTGGGTTTACTTGGGACAAAACATAAGAGACGGTTACTCCGTTTAACTAGTTCCTTCACAATTACAGTGTGGAATCAAGCTGTAATCAAAACAATATTTTAAAAAATATATAAAGTATAAAAATATAGTTAGAGAAGCATTTAAGACCGACAGATGAGAGTACTGGACAACTGTTCTGTCCTTGTTTAAAACTCCTCTTAACCAATCAACACTCATGACCAACCCTCTAAGGATAGCACCACTATAAGATGAGCCACTGACATGGAATCCAGTGCCTGGTCGATGAATTCTAACTTTTGCTGATTCGCTCTGTAAACAGCGCTACTACTACCAATGTCCTCCACATCCAACCTGGTCACGAAGTTCCACTCGAACACCTCAGGGAAATTCATACTGCAGTCAATTAGAGCATTATTAATTTTCAAGTCTTGGTTCCTCTACAG